CTTTGATGTGGGGCAGGCAACTGGGAGAGGTGGTAATGAGGTGCTGGGAGAACTTCAGTCAGCAGGGAGGGAGAGCAGCAGTTCTGAAGCTGCCCGAGCTGCGGGGCCCCTGTGCTGACACACCACAGCGTGAGGGGATGGCTGATTGGGGCTTACAGGCCTCCAGTGCTTTAGGGACAGACTCATTCTGTGCCTCTGAACAGAATTTCTGGACTTGCAAATTTATGGAAACACGTTTTTGGTCAGCAACAGAGGGAGCAAACAGGGATTCAGTTATCAGGTCGTATTTGTGTGCCCACCTCACTCCACAGTGAGCTCCCTGCCTGCAGGCTGCTTAAATTGAGAATTCTCTGGGGCAGGACCTCTGCCCTTCTCCTCTTGCAGGGCTCAGAATAGAAAGGGATTGGAGCCCCAGGAGGAGTGCACTGATACCGGGGCTATAAATAAGTGCTGGTGGCAGGACTCTGCTGGGGCTTTGTGCCAGCCACGGCAGGTGAGGGTCTGCTGGAGGCTGCAGCAGCCAAGAACAGAGCCGTGACTGCAGATAGCCCTGCTCCTGGCACAGGGGCACCTCCCTCGTGCTGCCATCACAGGCACCTCAAGGCCACTGCTGCAGGGCCACACGTGGCTGGGCTGGGCTAGGGACCTGCTCCCAACTGTTCCCCAGCTGGAGAGGTGTCATCACTGAGTGGGAAATGACACAGACTCACCAGAAGGCTGGTTTGCACAGAGCATCCATCTTTCCTCCAGACCCTCTCTTTCTATACACCGTTCAATACAGATAGACCTGGTTTGTCAATTAATCAATATACTTCACCTGATTGGCTAATTAACATGATGCCTTTCTCATAAACAACCTTTGAAAAAAATAAGAAAACAGAGAGTAGGAAAACAACACCTCCAAATTGTCTATAATAATAAGCTATCATTGTTTATCTTCAACTCCCTAAAATCTCTCAGGCCAATTCGGGGAGAACTGATCTCGTTTTCTCGCTCTCTGGCCAGGCTGTCACATCCACAGAGATGTGCAGGGACAGCCAGCACTGTCCCCAGGCTGTGTCACCCAGGGCAGCTCCACAGCTGGGGCAGCAGCCAGCTCCTGACCCTTCCCCTGAGCCTTCCCACCTTTGCTTTCCCCAGAAATGCTCCTGCTGCTCTTCCTTCTGTGGGGTTGGGTTGTGTGTCCTGCTGCTGCCAGCCCTGCGCTCCAGGGACACTGAGACTGGCTGGGACAGCTGAGCCTTCCTGGGAATGCTGTGAGTTATGGGATGCTGAGTGCTGTACCCACAGCATCCATCTGGACCAGACCTCTCCTCCTGAGAGCTGCTGTGAGACACAAGCACTGGATGCATTCCCCACCCAGCATCCTCCCTCACAGCCCTGCTGCACTTCAAAGGCAGGACCACAGCTCACATCCTTGGCTGAATTAGGCAGAGCTGAGCTTTGGCCTGGGCTAAGCCTCCAAGGCCTGATTGTAAATCACAAATGCAGATTGTGTGCCAGACAGATTTTTATCTTTTCCTAACTAAAGTACTGCTGGTGACTCCAAAGTACTGGCAAGAATTTTCCCTGCTGCAAGTGTGGACGCTGGGGAGGATAACAAAGTGTGTTTGTGTGGCTTGGGCTGCTACTTAACTTGAGAAGAGACTCCAGCTTCTCATCAAAAAGTACCATTTTACCTTTTTATTGTTTTTTAATGAAACCATTTTTTCCCGAAAGAGAAGAGAATTGCCTTTTTCCTAAGTGGACATTTTCATGAAAAAATAATCCCTGAGTTTTCATTACAGTCTTGAACAAGAACTTGAAAATAAAATCTGCTTGTTTCTTCCCCTGGCACTCTGTAAAAAGGAAAAATAGAAGAGGAAGAGAGCAAATGTGAATTCTCAACACACATTTTTGTGGACAGAGTGAAAACATGTAAAAGCTTTTACAAAAGGTTTTGAGATGTTATGAATTGAGTTGACATTTTCCAAAGTCCTCATAAACCCCACTGGATTATTTTGGGTGGATTTCAGCTCTAAGCCCCAAAAAGCAGAGTTACCAAGTGGCAGCAATGTGGTTTTGCTCCCAGGTATCTCCCTAGGCTCTCAGGAGGACTCCCTCCAGCTGCTGAGAGAGCAGAGCCTGCTGGGGTCCCTCTTTTGTGCTCTCCTGGGATGAAAAGTGGTTTTGCTCTGGGAGAAAAACAACCTTGGTTTGGCTGGGGGGGCTGAACTCTCCTGGTGAACATGAGAGCTTCTCCTTGACTTCTGTGCTGCTTTGGGCTGGGAGAGACAGTTTCAGGTCCCCTGCCCTGCTCCCCTGAGGACAAGAAGCAGCCACAGAGCAGCAGGAGGGGAGGAACCTGGGAGGACTTGCCTGCTGCCCTCCTGGGGTATGTGGCCAAAACCAAGCTGGCTGCTCTCTGAGAGCCTCACCTGTGTGCAGGTGCTGTCCTTGGGGTGCCCAGGGCTGGTGCCTTTCTCAGGGTGGATTGTGCTGGTGCAGTGGCTGTCGGGGTGTCCTTGCTGTGCTTTGGGCTCTGGCTGTGCTGCCAGTGCTGGTGTGAAGGACAGGGGCACCAGGCAGTGACCAAGCTGTGTCTTTGTCAAGAGGTGCTTTTTGCTTTGCTGAGCACTGAAATGTGGACAGTCTCGCTCAGTTCCACCCTGCTCTGCCCCTGGGGTTCTTGCCAAAGCCCCCTTTGCCCCTGCCCCCTAAGGTCACAGCAGTAGCCCAGCCTGTACCTGGTGCCCAGGGGTTTGTGTTCCAAAGCTCCCATGGGCGGCTGGTGCCACTTTCCACTTGTGCAGAGGGAGAAGCTGAAGCACAGAGCAGGCAGGTAATGGCATAAATGTTAAAAGCAGGTTTGTATGGAAACTTGCTGGGTCTGATAGCTTTTTATGAGCCCTCTGTTGAGCTCTCTGAGCTCCTCCTCAGCTGCTGACAGGGCTGTGATAGCACAAAAAGCAGGAATTCCTCATTGGCTACAACAAGAGTCCAAACCAAAGAGTCAGTGAGGTATTGCCCACCTTGCCCTTAGACCTGCTTAGGGCCCACTGTCCCTCTGTGACCCATCTGTGAGGTTGGGAAACTGAGGCACAGAACTCCCAGGGCTTGCAAACCCCCTGCTTGTGCAGGCAGGAGAACATTGCTGGAAGCTGCAGCACTTCTGGAGAAAGATGCTGGTGGCAGAGCAGGTCCTTCTCCTGTTTGGCACAGCTGGCACTGAAGGGCTTTGTGGGGTTTCTCCTCCCCTTTGGCACCACAAGGACAGCACCTTCCCAAGGCTTTGTCTCCTTCCTGTCCCACTGGATTCTCTGGACACCTGGAACTGTCATCTCTTCTCTCCTCTCCCAAATTCAGTACAAAGCTGCTTTTTATGCTGCCTGAAATCCCTGACACAGGAGAATTTCCATTCTGCTAGGATCATTAACCTTCCTGCCTTTCCAGTATTTGCAGCTAGTGGATAATTTCTTTGTTGTTTTGGTGATTGTTTTGTTTTTTCCACTATTATTTATTCAGGGAGGCTCTGGGACTGCCACCTGGTCAATGGGCAGAGCCTTCCGTGCACCTCAGCAGGGCTCTGAGAGCACCAGCTCAGGCCAGCATGGAAATCACATGAATGAAAGCCCCTCACAGGGCACCATCTGGGTTTGGGGGTTTTGTTTTCATGAACAGGACGGGAGTGCTGGGTACATTCCTTGAGCTTTATTGCAGCATCAGCCTCACTACGTGGCCGAGGCAATAGAGAGATGGCAAAGCTCATGTAAAGCCAGCAGCAGCCAAAGATTGCTTTGTTACAGAGCATTTGAAAAACTTTCTAGCCAATAGCACATTGCTAAAGCTTACAGAATTGTTTTAACCAATTACTACAAGCACATGTACACCTGCTTCACACAATGCTGGCTTGTCTTCTATTAACAATACACAATACACCATTAGTAAGCTTAAAACCTTCTACTATCTTACTAAACATATTTTTCTGCAGTCTTAAGATCTATCTTAACCAAACCTAAAACTCCAGCTATTCTTCCATGTCCTTACTTGTTGTACTATTGTAACTTTTTTCTACCCTCAGACTTTGTAGCTACAACTAGCTCTGAGTCCTCTGTTCTTTCTGTTTCTAAGGTCTGCTTTCCCAATTTTCTAAAAATCTTACCTTTGCTATTTCCCACAGGTGCTCCTTGTTAGGGCCTTGCAGCTGTTAAACCTCACCTGTCCCCACTTTGGGGCAGGGAGCAGAGAGGTTCCCCACAGCATCAGGAACAGGCAGAGGGCTCAGGGCTGGCACGGCACGGCACGGCACGGCACGGCACGGCACGGCACAGCACAGCACAACACAACACACAGCACAGCACAGCACAGCACAGCTTCTCCTGCTCAGGAACAGGGAGCTGTGGGGTTTGGGATTGACTGGTGCAGTCCCACAGTGATCCCCAAGTAGGTCAAGCACAGGTGTCCTGGAAGTGCCAGGAATTCAGCTGTGGAAGGCAAAGGAGGAGCTGCTGTGCTGGGCTGAGCATGGGCTCCCTGCCCACCCCTCAGCAGGGCTGAAGTGCCTCTGGGGCCTTTTCTCCTGCCCCAAAGGGAGGTCATTGACGTGTTCAGGAGGCACCAGACATCAGGAACACTCAGAGGCACCAGGAACAGGCAATCCAGCCTGCCCTGGGACCTTGGGCAGAGTTAGCAACAGGGTTGCTGTGCCACAAGGTTGTGCTGTGGAAATCCTTTCAGGTTGCTCCCAGTGCAGTAGGGAGGGTTTCTAGCCATGAAGAGGAAATGAATTCCTGCTGCATGGAGATTCATTTGCTACCTCAGCCACCAGCTGGGTGAAAAAGCAGCTGAGGATGCAGCAGTCCAGCTGTTAATATGTTTATTGGGATGAATATTACATATCATTCTCAGAGTGGTTCTATTTCTTTGCAGAAGGCACAAACTACAGCAGCAGGATTTAGGAATATGGACAAGCCTGTGTTTCCATAAAACCATGTTTGATGGCAGGACATGATGGAGGTGTCTGTCACATGAACACCCAGTGTTAAAGGCTTGGTTAAAGCTGCCCCGTGATCCTGTGGAACTCCTCATGTTCTTCCAGGCTCAGCTTCCCACTTCCTTATCCATTCCCAGTCTGCAGACTTCTCATTGCTGACCAGGTTTCTCCTTACAGATTTATTATCTGCATTTCTTGCTCTGTGTCCCTGGCTTACCTGAATTCCCCAATCCCCATTCTGACCCTGCTGTAGTTGTGCTCTGTGCCCCATTTCCTTCTCCTGGACTCTGCTCAGGTGTTTCCAGTTCTCTCCCTTTCTTCCTCATGGTGTGCAGATTCTGATCCAATCTGTGCTGTGCCACCCCAAAGGCTCCTCCTGCTCTCCCTTTGGGGTGTCCATGTTCCCCCTGCTCCCATCAGGTGAGGAGTGGGGGCTGCTCCCTGTTACTTCTCCAAGGATTTTGCTCCCTAGGGAAGGGGGGTGCTGGCACTGCTGTTGGAAAGGGAGAAATTTGGTGCCATTTTAGAATCTTCAAGGCAAATCCTGCCTCAGGTGCATTGTTTGGATGACAAGGCAGACAAGGACATGCCTGGATGCACACTGGAATCCAGTGGATGTTTTTCCATATCCCAAGAGATGTGATGTGTTTTCAGTGAGGCTTTGCTGGAGAACTGTTGTACTGCCTGGATGTGCTGGGCAATATTTCTGTGGCTCCACAGTTAAGTTTTTATGGAAGCCTCGTTCTGTTTAACGTAGCTGTAGTTGGGTTATAAATTAATAATCCCTGCTGCTGGGACTGCTGTGTAGCAAGATGGCTTGTGTGTAAATAATTCATGCCATTAAATTCGTTGTGTTCCCTGTCTACAGCTCATTTACCTGCTGTGACTACAAATATTCCTCTGCCCGTTGGAGAAGGTGTTGGGAGATGCCAGGCGTGAGAGGACTGTCAGGAAGAGGCTCCTCCCCTGGTTAAATGGATCAGAAACTCCTGGGACAGGGAATGCCAGCACAGTCTGGTTTGCAAACATGACAGGGTGAGGATTTCACCGTGGGCTTGGAGCCTGGGGAGGCCCAGGCTGTGGGGCATGTTCTTCCCTGGCACATCCATCCTGGGCAGCAGGAGGAGTTTCTTCATGGAAGGGGCTGCCCAGGGAGGTGTGGAGCCCCCATCCCTGGAGGTGGCACTCAGAGCTCTGGGCTGGGGACAGGGTGGGGATCAGGCACAGCTGGGACTCAGCGATTCAGGAGGGCTTTTCCAACCTCCGTGATCCAGTGCTCACAGCTCTGCCTCCTTTCCAAGCTCTTCCTCTTTGTTTGTAGCTCTTCTAGAACTATTTCAGTGCTTGTCCCTACCAGTAAACCAGGAACAATTGGAATTCTTCCCTGCATCACGTGCAAATTCCATGGGGCTTCCAATGTATTTTTTAATTTAAATTCTCCCATGTTTCCTTGGAAAGCAGCTCCCCAGAAGCAGTAAAGAATCCTTTCCAGCCTCAGGCACCAGCTCTCTGTGCTGCAGTGAACAGAGTAAGGTAATCACATAAGTCCTGCACAAATAAAGGTAAAAGAGGTACAAAATAAAATTAAAAAAAAAAATATTGTGTTCAAAAGATGTTTTCCAGAGTTCTAATGCACAGTCTCTAAAATGTTTTCATATTTGTAGAAATTTGTGGGAAGCTGATGTTTCCAAGAGCTTTGATGCTGCTTTATTACTCCTGTATTAGGAGATTATTTCAGATCACACTGGTAATGCTTTTCTGTTGTGCTGTTGTCAATTCTGGTTTGTTTTCCCTCAGCCTTGCTGCTGCTCTCATCTGCATGTGATGATCCAGGGCAAGACTTGAGGGAATCCAGGGAAGACTGTGCTGGAATAACTTCCATCTTCTCCTCCTCACACACCAGAAACCTGATCCTCTGACAGTAAGTAATATTTATGTGCTTTTATGCATCATACATAACCTGTAAAATTGTGTTATTGTCAAGTTACCATCATATATTATCTAGAAGCAACTTTAAAAGGTTGGTTTAGCTTTATGTATAAATATTGATGAGAAATCTGAGGCATGTTTTTCTGCAGAAAATACTTATATCAGACACAAAATTTATCTGGAAAAGATGTTATCCCTTATGTTCCTGCTGAAGTCTACTTAGGAGACAGCCTGAGCAAGGCCGTGTCTGTATGAATAACAAGGACTATTAATTTGGGACCAATTGATTCACTGAAAAGGCTTCTGAAGAAATACATCAGCATATTGGAAATCACTACAAAGGGTTTGGGTGATGTTTATTGAGGCTGAAGACAAATGTTTGGGATGGAAGGAAACAAGGAGGAAGTCCTGTAGTTGCAGGAGCTGAACAAAATGAGGCAGGGGCTTGTTGACTTTGAAACAACTGCGGGTTCTTAAAGTTTTTTTTTTATGAGGGAAGTTCCACTGCTCTTTGTTTTGGTTAAAAACAGGTTTCTGTTTATCTGAGGAAAAGATTTTTAAATAGTGAAGGACTGAGTGACATTGGAATTCAAAGTCTGGCACTTGATCTGTTTGTTGTGGTTAGGCTTTATGCTGGGATTGACAGGTGATGGCCAGCGAGTGTCCAGCACCCCCGGCCAGTGCTCCAGACAAACTGGAGAAGTGGCCACTGCAGGTGACCCCTCTTGTGGGGGCTGAGCCAGGAGGAGGCAAAGGAGCTACTCCTAAACAGGAAAATGGGTTTTAATAGCTCCTTTTAAAGCTGCTACAAACGGGCTGGGAATGTTTTATTGCAAGCCTGCAGGAGTGACCTGTCAGCCTGCCCTGCTCTGAGAGCTTTGCTGCCCTGCCTGGGTTTGGTGGGGGGGTTTGGAGGCTCCCCCAGGCCAGCCCAGCACTCTGTGTGATGCTGTTTGCACAGAACGTGGGGCATAATGGAACATGAAGTATTGTGCTCTTCCCTAACCTATTTACATGACTTCATTACCATTGAATTTTACTGAGCATGTCAGGAGTGGAGAGGGAAATGTAATCTAATAGGAAGGAATGTACCTCTCTGGAGCAGGGAAGCTGTGACATAAAAAATGGGGTTTAGACAGGCAAATGAACTGAGGCACTGTGGAGGGAACTGATCACACTCTTATTCTTCCCCCAAAAACAAGTTAAAATTCTTTCCACAACTTACTGTTGTGGCAATGTTCAAGTGTCCCAGCCAGTATATTTTGTAAGGATTTAAAGGAATAACAAAGCCAAAGGTGATGGAAATAACTGGATGATGCAGTGGACAGCAGTCAGTTGGGACTGGGATGTCCATAACCCTAAAATGCATTGATCAAATGCATGACTGTATCTCACTATCCCAGATTGTTTGCCTTGAAATGGAAGCAATTTAATCTTTAAAAAAAATAATGAAAGAGCAAACTGTAAATGAGACCTTCTGGCAGCAGGACAGGCTGTGGTCCCAGAGGCAGCAGCACAGGCCAGGATGACAAATGAGATCATTAAAGTAAATAGTGTAAATTGAGTTTTGGCAGTGGGAAGGAATCCTTATTATGATGAAGGGCATTAATATGGGAAGAAGAAAGGAGGGAGGAGGAACTCACTGTGACAGGCTTATCTGGGGAGGGAGCAGTGTAATCCTGTGGCTGCTCCTGCTGCCTCCCTCATTGCAAGGCAAGGAGTCCATTTCATTTCACAGGGGTTTCAGCAGGGCAATGGTTTCAAAGTGCATTAAAGATCATAAAGTGTCACCCCTTCAAACAGCATCCAGGAGGCTGCTGAACCAAAGCCTGGGATCCTTTACTCATTGGGTCTCATCTTTGACATCACATTTGCAGCACACCTATGCTTTACCTGCTGATTTTTCATTTTTAAAGAGTTTCTTGATACAAGTGTTCAAAACCTGAGCACTTGGTTTCCTCTGGATAGGCTTTGATTGTGGGAAGTGCAAAACATGGTGTTAAAGGGCTGGGGCACTGCCTGACCAGCCAGGGAATTCTGGCCTCTAAATTTGGGCTTCCTTAGATGCTGGTGACAGCCAAGGTGATTATCCTGCTCAGATTAGCAGGGAGTTGTGACAGTCCTTAAGGTCACAGGGACTTCTTAAAGTTGTTGGGCTTTTTGAAATCAGTGTGAATCAGTGGCTAGCTCAGAATCCTCTGTGCAAAGTCTTGGGGTTGTTTTTGTCTGCACTGATACTGAAATAAATCCTTGCTCCTGTGAGAGCAGATGGAGCTGCCAAGTTTGGGCATTGCCCTGGGAATTGAGCCCTGAGTGTCACTGTCCTCTGGCCTTTTTGTGGCCACTCTAATGGCATTAGTGACACTTACACTGTGTAAAGGCACCTTACAGGATGTTACTAATTAGGTAAAAGTTTATATGATCCCATTAGTACACTAGAGTTCTGTGGTTTTGTTCTCTGAGGTTCAATTCCTGTGCTCATCCTGTTATAAGGATGAATCACTTGTGAAAAGCAGTTTGAATTAATGAAAAACAGATTTTGGCTTCAACAGGATTGTCTTTGAGGTCCCTTCCAACCCAGTTTGTGCCTAGGGCCAGGTTTTCCTACACCCTCCCGAGCTCTCAAAGAGGGCTCTGAGGCATTCAAAGGCATGGAAATGCACTTTTCCTGTTTAGCTTGCAAAGGCAGATTTATCTCTGAGAGTAGCTCTTATTCTTTCATAACATGCCTTGAAAAAAATGAAAGCCCAACCAAAACCAAACAGAAATTTCCTCCCTTTGCCTTGGAAATGGTGTTTTTTGTTGAGCCCAGCATGGTGTGGTAATAGAGATTTGCACGGGCTGTTGAGAGGAACGAGCTCCGAAGCTGCTGGGAATGGCACTGAGCTGTGGGAGGAGGAAGGAGAAGCTTAGGGACAGTTCAGGGTGTTTGCATTAACAAACACTGCTGGGGCTGCCCCCAGAAGCTGAAAAAGAGCATTTCACACCCGCATCTCTGTGAGTGCAGCAGGATGAAGGAACGCTTCCACAGGGGTTTGTGGCACACAATTGGAAGAATTGCTGCAGCAAGGATGGGGATGGGCAGGGAAATGGGATGTGAGGGGGCTCAAGCAGCGTTGGAATTCATGGCAGTCCGGACAGAGAGGAGAGAGCTGCTCAGGGAATTTTGCAAGACCTCCAAAATCAGCGTGCACATAAAGGCATGGAAGGGTTGTTGTGTCAGGCTGGAGATCAGGAAAGGTTCTGCCCCAGAGGGTGCTGGCACTGTCCAGGCTCGCCAGGGAATGGGCACGGCCCTGAGGCTGCCAGGGATGCCCAGGGTGGGGTTGCTGGGGGGATTGCTGGACAGATGATCCCTGTGGGTCCCTCCAGCTCAGGATAATCCACAGGGGTGTGATGGGATCTTTCCAGGCCCCTCTGGCATTTGGGATTGTGTCGTTCCTTTGGCTTTGCCTCGCAGGCACAGCCTGTGTGTGCCCGGCCTGGCGAGCCCTGGGCACTCCCAGGTGCCCCCCAGGGTTGGGGACAGCTCCACCAAGCTGCTTCAGCCCCTGCCCTTGGATTTCCTCTGAAACTCTGATAGCAGGCACGGGCAGCCTGCTGTGTCAGAGCCCAGGGAAGCATGAACCAGGCGAGTTGGAGGGTGAATTTGCTCAGGTTTTGCCTCTAATTGCTGCAGAGTGAGAGTCTGCTTTGCTTTTCTGGGGGTGGTTGAATCCAACCAGAACTCAAATCAGAGGGCAATAAATGTTTCTTGAAAATGGGAGTAGGAGAAAAGTGGTGATTCCTCCAGCTCTGGGAACAGGGACCTAAGGAAAGTTTATGGTGAGGACTCAGCAGTTGCTGAGGGAACCCCTGCCCTAGAGAAGATGAGATGGGCTTTTTGTTACACTGGGTTGGGGAGTCCCAGCCACTTGCCAGGTCCTGACACTGGGAAAAGATTGTGTGGCATGTTTTGTGTGAAATCTGTGAGACTTTGTAACAGAAAGTGTTTGGTGGTGTTTTGATGATCAGAGCTTTTCTCTCATGAGAAGAAGCAGGAAGCTGAGCAGAAATGAAAACTCTGTCCTCAGTTGTGTGCCCTGGGTCAGGAGAAATTCAAGGATTCACTTAATGCTGTTGTTATCAGTTAGAACATCTATATGCTGGGAAAACACTCCTAGAGTATTAATAAAATTACTATAATTTTTTTGCCAAGAAATATTCAAAACCTTTTAAGTAAATACTGGAAAAAAGCATTTATTGGAAGAAGAAGGGGGGAAAAAGGATTGATTCTGAAAAATGGGATTTCAAACACCTCTCTCACTCATGGAGAAACCTGGAGTTGTGCTTCATCAGTAGGAAACCAAAAATGTGGCGCCAGTGCCACAAATCCCTAAACAAATGTGGCTTGAATAATAGATTGACTTGCTTAGGAGAGCTTTTCCCTAAGCAAACTTAGGGATCAATAACTAATTATTTGCAGGAATAGCCTTGTGAATTTCCCATCATAAATAGATCCAGGAAAACTCTCAGTTGCTCCAATCCATTTGTGACCAAAAGAGGTAAAAGTAATTATTCTCCTAGCTCACATACTGATTTATCCTTGGTTTTTTCTCTGCTCGTTTTTGATGGAACAGCTGTACTTAACCCATGCCCTTGTTTATGCTGGGAAAAACAGATCCTCTAACTGCAAACACATCACTTGAAAAGCTGAGCCAGTTCCTCAGCTGCAGGTTCCCAGTGTAGGTTCCACTGTTCTTTAGAAGCTGAGTGCCCTGGGTAAGGGTTTGCATGAGTGAGCTCCTGTCAGGCCGGGGTCTCTGCTCCGAGCAGGGCTCTGCACCTGGCTGCCCTTTGCCTGCTGTGGAAGCCTTTCCTGCCACAGGGCTGCTGCTCTGGCTTCTTTCCCTCTGCCTGGCTGCTGTTTCCATAAACTTGTCAGAGCTTCCTTACCCTGGGGTTTCTCTCCTCCAAAGTGATGCCCTCCCAGGAGCTCCTGGCTCTGCTCGAG